TAGGGCTCAGGGTTTAGGGCGTAGGCCTCGACTCGGAGATGTCGCAGATGCCCTCCTCCACCTCCGAAGGGCCAAGGGCACAAGAACCATCAAGCTGCTAGAGTATATCATATTGTGGGTTTATGGGGTTTAGAGGTTGAGGGTTTACGATTTAGGATGTTATCGGTACCATAGTTTGGGTATATTCTGATACTGCATTACATCACCAACTTGAGGCAGATGCTTTGTTCAGGATGCGCTGCGCCAGCGTGTGAAAGACGTCCTTGCCGCAATTAATGTCAACAGCCTCCATGACTCCATGAGACTGACCACAAAGCAGACAGGGAGCGAACCACAATTGCGATCTGGAAGCTCGTGATCCGGCATGTTGGTGGCTCACCAACAAAAACCGCTGCTAAGGCAACCGTTGAAGCTTCTGCGTTTCATGCAAGCGTTTGCTAGTTGGTACAGTAAGATGCTTATAGACAAAAAGATTCCTGCACGTTCTCCCCAGTGAGGGCGCTCGTCTCCAAGAACAAGATGTCCTGCTCGGGGCACAGACAAGCGAAACATCTGCCTGAACGCACACTCCAATCAACGCGGCAATCTGGACAAAAGCGTCGCCACAGTGAGCTGCGAATGTCAATACCACTTCTAGATTTACCAGTACCATCACTGGAACCGGTGCTTCTACTCTCTTCCGCTTCTACTGTTGATGATATAAATCCNNATTACCTTAAAAACCCTAAACTATGGAAACTGTAGTATATTGATTGTTATGGGTAATGCAGGATTTATATCATCAACCCAGAGAACCCAATACCCCTTAATTAAGGAATATACCTTAAATCATAATATTAAGGCCCCATAGTTTAAGGTATATTACTTAACTAAGGGGTATTGCATTCTCTGGGAACCGTAGTAATCACTACTGCTGTCAGTCTGCCGGCCTGTTCCTGCGCGAAGCGGCTCGCCTCCAGGAAGGACACCTGCTCCCACTTGGAGGATCATGGGACTTAGTAAGTAAGGTTATAACTACCCCAATTGCGGTTCCTGAGTAGAGTATGGTTTTGGGGTATATTCCACTCCAAAATAGTGTTGATATTCCGGCCCCCAAAGTAAACCGCGGAAGGTTGGTTGAGACCTCTTTTCTTTCAGCCTTATCCGCCTCTAGAACACCTAAAAGGAGGAGGTTTTGGAAGGCCATGCACGGTTCAGGGCTTAGGGCGTCCAAACTCCAAAAATGGTGACAGTGAGTGCCTGACGCTCCTCCTTGAGGTCCCGCTTGTTTCCCACCTGGGCTTTGGGTGGTTGGGGTTTAGGGTTTAGTTGGTGTTTCCCGTCCGTACTGACTTGGGGTTTAGGGGCCTTGGAATTGGATTAGTGCTCTTTTTCCGTCCATCCAGCAAGCCAATGACCAGAAAACCTCATGGGCTGGGCATATTGCCGACACCCGACTACCCAGCACTTGGGAGGTTTTTGCAGTGTCTGCAAGGCCAAACCGTGTAACTGCCCTTGCATCCCGGTGGCTGCTATGATGGAGATGTCTTTCCACGCCTGCTCGCGGGCGTCCTCGCAGCGTCACATGGTCACGGAGGGAGAAGAACCCTTCAACTTCTGAATACCGTTTTGATTAAAAACCAAGTTGTGAATATGGTTTTTAATTAAAAACCAACTTCGGAATATGTTTCTAAATAAAAACTAACTTCGGAATATGTTTTTAACTAATACCCTAAACCCTAAACCC